AATATTAATGCGTTATCATCCGTTCATAAAACATAAGTCACTAAGCATAAAACGCTTCAATTAATAACCGTTTTTGTTAGATTACACAGAAACCTGTGTATCGATCGTTATGAGTACAGTCCCTCTAAATAAACAAATCATTATATTTGAGTATCTGCTAGATAATAGATAAATCACTGGAAAGACGAGCTAATTTAAGATGTGATGAGCTGACGACGATGCACCGTGACGCCGCACTCTTTGGGCTAATTATTCAACAAATATTCCAAATTACATGCCCATCAAATAATCGTTTCGGCAATGACAATGACGCTCGACGGTTTCCATATGTGAGTCACATTTTCGGGGCCCCAAAAAGTGCAGCCCTGAGTTTTTGAGCCATAACTGGTAACCTGAAACCAGTTTCATCGGCAAAGAAATGCGCAGAAATAATTTAATTGGTTCGGAGCCATCATCATCATCATCGGCGATCCATATCCATTGCGCAAATGTTGGCCATGCCACGTGTCAGTGACCAAGTCGAAAATCGGAATACGAATACCAGTTGGTAGTAAGGCGAAATAACCAAATCTGAAGATGCAGCTGACCTTGTGCCGAATCTGTGCCGAGAAAAAAACCCAAAACCCCAAAGACAGGCCAACTCTTTAATTCGTTGACTCGTTGACTCTTTTTCAATTCGATTTGATTCGTTTTGACTCGACTCAACGCGACTCTCACTTTCGTCTGACGCTTTTTTCCATTACTTCTTCTTCGTGGGCGTCGAAATTCCCCCGAGGGTCTCTTTCTTGATCAGACTTATGGTAAGCCCCATTGGCCCCACAACATTGACATTGAAAAGCGGGAAAAGAAAGACGCTGACTGTGGGCCAACGAGACCTGAATACGAAAGTAAAAACACACACAACCTGGGATAGGTAGTATACAACACAACACATTCAGGAAGTAATCGCTCCATCTTATGGGCTCCTACTATCTGGGGCACTCGTAGAGATCTGACTTTGCGCATCTCGGAGCATAAAATTGCCAAACGCGACGCGTTTTATTATGTGACTCAATTAGGCAACGGCAAAGTGTAATTATTACAAGGTAGAAAAACGAGAAAATGGTAGGAGTAATTATGAATTACGGACCGAGTTACGACGGCGAGTGTTAGCCAGCCCATAAACTTTGATCATCTGTGGGACTTCACGTAGTTAAATAACATAAGCTATATGAATATTTTATGCAAGCGACTTCTTAAGAATTATTAGCAAAGGATCCAATAAAATTAAAATAAAAGGAATATACAAGCAAACCTGAAAATAGACTTTTAAAATTATAAAGTTTCTTATAAGAAAAGAATAATGAAGAGCTCCTCTAATAACCTGAGAAAACAGAAAACTAAAGAAAGACAACAAATTGCTTGGAATTCAAAGACAAAAAAAGGTTTAGCAACTCTATGAGCATAATTAGCTTTAGCCCGAAAAGTGGCAACTAATGTGTCCTCCTGATTCGATCTAATAGACACACCTCAGCAATAAGTACACAGAACGCTTCACCCAAGTTCAAAGACTTTGCCAGCTTTATAGCCAAGTTGCGTGCTGAATGACAGGAAATTTATTTGGCCAAGACAAACGAGTGAATCTTAAATCCACAACACACGCCTCTAATGTCCCCACATTACCTGCGACTTGACTCTGGGGTTCTAATGACAAAGCCAAACATTAGTGGGCAATTGCCAAATTTAAAACTGATTTATCGGCACTTAGAATATGACTTCCTAGAACCTAATTTTAAATATGCAAAACTCGAAGAAATACGTTTAAGCAATGGATTTATGGAAGTCTCAAGAGCAAGTCAAACATACTTCATGTAAACATTTACAACAAGCCATAATTTACTATTGGGCAGTCGAAAAAAATAGTTTTTAACACATAACAAATATGTGCTTGTTTAAATCTAAGAAACATTCTTATCTAATTATAGATTTAAACGTGGCTCTATGTCAATTTATTTCAGTCCTTGCTTAAAGCTAAGCGTAAACATTGTGAACAAAATTAAAAGTGGCCAAAGACTGAGAGAATGAACAGCTAAAAAAATAGTAAACAAAATATTATTTATGGATTTCCAGTGGGCTCTTTTTTGGTTCTTATGACGCAGGTCATTTAGTAATTTAATGTTTCTATTGCCTTAATTAAACTGTTAGCAGTTGAGACGCGTTGCTGTTGCAATTTGTCGTCTTTTATATTTTATTAATTTTGCCTGCTTTGATTTTGCGTTGTTTCACAACGGTTCGGAAAGTCGCGAAAAAAAATATTTATAAAAAATGGCAAAGACGAAACAACAAAGGTATTTGTATAATGGCAACTATTTGACAGCGCAGAGCACATTATTTATTGCCATTATATATTTATACAATCGTTTCATCAATCAAATGGATTTCAACAGCTTTGTCACCGGGTTTTGGCCTGGCTTTTTGGGCCCCGCCCTCATTGTTTTTTCGCCACTCATTATGGTCGACTGCAATCGGTTTTAGTGTGTTAACACATTTGCCTAGCCTGCCCCGCCTTTGTCCTTACCTTCAGTTGAGCACACATATATCTTAATCTTCTTGCAAATATGTTGAGCGATTCAAGTGCACAGTTTGATCTTGGGCAGGCTTTCAATGAAATTTCTGCGAAATTGTAAATAGCCATTATATGGCAAGTATTTAATTGGATAAGTGAATGAGCTTTGGGTTTTAATTTGTATGTTTCTTATTCTCCAATTAAAAGTCTTGCTATTTTTGCAAAAGACATTGAGTTTTGTGTGGGCTTTCAATGAACTTTATTAATTAAATATATATATTTTCCAAAATGATGTTTAGCTATTTGTTTTGTATGACTATTTTTATAAAATGTATTTACAATATACTAATATATAAATCATACTAGTCAGAAGTCAACACAATAAAAATGAATGTTTTTATGAGCTGTGATCGCACTCTGGCATTTCAATTATTTTTGGCTGTTGAGTTGTAATGTACAGAAAATTGGCTGAGCTTTGAGGTGCGGCGGGTCTCGTGAGTATTGAGTATCGATTTCCCTACCTGCTGGACCGCTTTCCCCCGACCTATATACACGATCACATGCTGAACGACCTTCCGCATCGGCGGACAAGAATACACGATGAAATCTGTTTTGAATCTGTTTCGGCATCGGCTTTCGGTAGCCGCTACCAAGTTCATCTGGCCCGGGGATTGGGTGAGCTTGGTCATGTCACCTTGATAACCTCATTGTCTGTCCCATCTGTCGATCTCGTTTGGCTCCGGCTTGGACTTCGACTTCAGCACTAGCTTCCATTTACCAAGAGCGTTAAACGCCTGAATGACACGTTCAATTGAAGAAGTACATATATCACATCGACATGTATTTATGCCGACCTGTTCGATGGAGGTTTTGTGATGAAATGCTTACTACCAGCAAATCAAATGACCTCAATCGCTAAATTAAATTGAAAACATGTTTAAACATTACACAGAGATCGGTTGAGGGATTTTAAATAGAGACTATGGCGTAGTAGGATTAAAGATTTATCTTATCTTTGCGGCACTTAATTGCTTTGTTTTTTGGGTTTTCAACATATATTAAAATCCGTAAATATTTTGGTAATTAAGACCTACATAATAAAGTATTTCTTTTTGGAGTAAGAAATACCAAATAAATTTTAAGATAATTTCATGTTCACATGATCAATAGGGAAAAACTCTAAAGTGAGTGGAATATATAATTTATATATTATATATTTAATCGGTCACCCCAAAGTGAATGTAACGGATGTTAATTTTATAGCCAATCGGTATAGGAAATACCATATGGTTTTAAATATTCAAAAAGAGCCTAACAATTGAATGCCATTTTCTTTTCCGCATATAACAACTCCGCAAAGTTTGGTTGTTAAACGGTATTTAACTGGTAAACACTTCTGATTTCGGCACATGCAAATGCTGGCAAACATATCCGTCTGCCAGCCCCTCATGGTCACGGCCGGGTCTTGTGTAACCCAGAGATTACCGGATAGTTCCTGCTTTTGGCCAAGGCTTCGGGGAAGTTGATGTGGAAGTGGGGCCAAGCCAACTTGTGGATGCTGGGTGCTCATGTAAGAGTTGCCATTTTCCTTGTGTCACCACGCAACCGAACAAAAGACCGTTGCATGACTTATGTTGCCATTTTCGAACCGAAAAACTAAAAAAAAAAAAGACCGATAAAAAACTGGTTGGACACAGTCCCAGTTCCAGTCGCCGCCTCAAGTCCCCGATCTGTTTGGCAACTGGTTGCAAGAAAACGAAAACAAAATAGCAACTTTGTGCAAATAAATCAGCAAAGTTACATTGGGCACGGACTGAATCTGAATCCACTGCAGCCGTTAAGTTGGAGCTGATTAGTTAATCTGTTAGTTGCTCTATTTATATATAGGTTAAATGTGAATACTTTAAATTCCAAGCCATAGGCTTGATATATAGTATTCTATATAATAGATTTAATATATGAATAATGCCCAAGTTCATTTTTTAAACATGTTTTAATATGTTTCTAAAATAAATTAAAAAATTAAATTAAAATTATGATAATGGGTAATGAAATGGAGAAACATTTTTACTGATTTTTTTAACTGCATAGTTAAATATGCGTTGTATATTTCTAACGACCTCCTTTAAACTAAAATAAAAGAGTAAAAAGGAATAACTAAAAATTCCACTTTTGTAACTAGAATATTATTTATTTTCACTTACAAAACTAGAGTACATACATTAAGCTGTGTAGGGTATTTCTGCGGTCGCATAGCAAGTAAGTCATCAAGATGATGGCGGATTTTTGAAGTTGGCAGCTTGACGGCTGTACTGCGATTGCATAATGGCCAGTTTTTATATGTTACATACACCCCATTCACACTGGCCGCTGAGCAGTCAGTATGTTGCATTTCGGACGCTTCTGATGCCCTTCCCTTCTCTTTTCTTCCCTTTTTTCATTTTTTTTTGCGCAGTGGACGATGCTTCCGGTCACTATACATCCGGTTTCTTCTACGGCAACAACTACTGGATGGGTTCGTTGGCCCTCTGCGATGCCATTGACGACGGCCAGATCGCTGCTCCCGGCAAGGACAACAGCTCCTCCCCCGCCGCCCCATCCTCGCCAGAAAGCGAGTCCAAGAACACCGGACTGCCCTTCGCCGCCGCTCACACCCAAGGATACAGCAGCGTCTACAACGCGCCGCCGCCCTTCCTTCCCGGATTCTACGTGATCAAGATGCAGCTCAACGAGACGCTGCCCACCCAAGTGGTAAGAAAAACATATGAAAAGCTACCGCAAGATCTAATAAACATAACAAGATTTTATATATTAAAGCTTCTTAACTATTTACGTAAATTGTATATTATAAATTAACTCTAGAGTAGAGTTTACAGAACTCAATGCATTCTATATTATTACTATACTATTCTATTTATAATTTTTTTTATTGGCCTTTGAAATATTGCCCATTTATTGGGTATTTTTTAACCACGTTTTCTTTCTGATTTCCCTCCAGCTGCGCACAATCTACGTGGGTATGTGCCTGCCCTCCAGCTGCTCCATTGCGGACATTGGCCAGATGAGCACCAAGGCCCACGTGGAGCTCGCTTCGCGGGATCTTCGCGTCCTGGACATCCGCGTGCCCACCGACAAGGAGTTTAACATCTGGGCGGATAAGACCTTCTGCCTGCTGATGTAAGTACCCGAAACAAAAAACAAACCTTAAAAAACGCAATCAAAACTTCACTTTCAAAAATGCCAGAGAGCGCTAAACAATTGACTAAACATTAAGCGGAGCTTTGGGCAAGTTGGTTTTGGACATTAGCGTTGAGACAGTCCCTTTTGTGTGAAATTTTGCTTCCCCCCAAATCGAATTATAGTAAAAAGCGAAACTCCATTTGTTTGCTTTAAGTATTAGCGGGTAATATGATTATATGCTTCCCTATGTCTGTTAAAACTACACGGAGAACAATTTTATATCTGCTAGATATTCGTTTAATAGAGCTTGACATTCATAACATTTTTGTAAAGTATTTGTTATGTTCATTCGGCAGTTAATACATACAAATTTGTTGTATATAATAAAGGTTATATTAATTATAAGTTTATAATATAAAATCTAATTTAATTGTCTTCTTTATAGTGTGGTATCCAGTATTGTGCTGTGTTTGATTTGCTGCGGCACGCTGTACGAGATTTACCTGCGTGGCAAGCTGAAGGAGGCACTGCGTCGCCAGGACAAGGAGATGATGAACAACAGCGAGACGAGCTCGGGCATTGGATGTGCCTCTTCGGACTACAGCGATACGATGACCGCCCACGACGATCCTCTGAAGCAATCGACCCGCACCCACGATCACGACCACGCCCACTCGCCGACGAGTTCGCTGAAGCAATTGGATGCCTTGGTGCTGAACCTGCCGCCCAACGATAATGACAGCGGCAATGGACACCACGATGCGGATCACGAGCACGATCATCACCGGAGCGGGAGCAACAATAGCAACTCGGATGAGCACCTGGAGGGTCATCTGCATGAGCCGGAGAAGCTGAGCATCTACTCGGAATTGCTGCTCTCCTTTTCGGCGATAACGAACTTCAATGCCATCTGCGATCGGAATGTCGGAGCCGATACCATTCCGTGCATCCATGGCCTGCGTGCATTCAGTATGGCCTGGGTCATCCTGGGACACACCTGCATTGTGGTCTTCAAGTACTCCGACAACATGGAGATGCGCAAGGAGGTGGAGCAGAACTTCTTCTTCCAGGCGATCACCAATGGCCCGTTCAGTGTGGACACGTTCTTCTTCATCAGCGGCTTCCTGATCTCGTACATCTACTTCCGGACGAATGCCAAGGGCAAGCTGAACAAGCTGAGCAAGGGCGCCAATGAGTTCACCGCCGGAACGGCCCACTTCTTTGGACTGGTCGCCTATCGGTTCATGCGCCTCACCGCCCCCTATCTGTTCGTGCTGGGCGTGGTCCAGGTGACCATGAAGTACCTGGCCACCTACTCGATCTTCGACCCGCCGACCATGGATCACATCACCTGCCCGGATTACTGGTGGCGCAACATCCTCTACATCAACACGCTGTTCCCCGTGGATGAGATGGTGAGTGGTGGAGAAGGGATCTGCGGATCTTGAATCACTATTGATATTTACTGTGTCAAGGAAGATTTTTATTACTCATAAGCAGTGTTGACGTTCCTTTTTGCGTACTTAATTATTTTTAAACTGTAAAAAACTTTATCAATTGTAAAAGTATAACGCATTTTAATATCTATATTTTACAAGTTTCTTATTTTTATAAATTTTTAAATTTTTTGTTACTCATACGCACTGTTGACTTTATTTTAAAAGTGTACCACATGTATCTATACTCCACAATTTCTTTGTTTTGATTTTGAGTTAATTTATTTTAAAATCATAAATTTAGAAAGTTTCCTTGTGCATTAACAAAAACCTAGTTTTAGAAAGTAATAAAAAGGTTTAAATGCCAAAAGAGTGTTTCTTATCACTCATACGCAGTGTGGATTATAGTGTGTGGAATATTGATCTTTTATAATACAACTTCGAAAATTGTATTTTGTATTTACCATATAAACTATCTTCTTTTATCCCCAGTGCATGCTCTGGAGTTGGTATTTGGCGAATGACACGCAGTTCTACATGATCGGCGCCATTATACTGATCGTGGGCGTGAGGCACTTCAAACTGTCGGCGATAACGACGCTGGTGTTCCTGGTGCTCTCGTGGATCACCACCGCGGTGATTGCGTTCACCAACAATCATCGGCCGAACACGGACGATCCGCTGGCCCTGTTCGACAAGATCTACGACAAGCCATGGACCCGCCTGGGTCCCTACCTAATCGGCATGGCCGTGGGCTGGATCCTGTTCAGGACCAACTGCAAGATCCGTCTGCCCAAACTGACGGTGGCCACCGCCTGGACCCTGGCCATGCTCAACCTGTTCGTCCTGGTCTTCGGACTGTACAAGGCCGACCTGTCGCAGTTCACGGCCGCCGCCTACAGCTCGCTGAGTCACTCGGCCTGGGCGTTGTCCCTCGCCTGGATCACCATCGCCTGCTCCACGGGCTACGGCGGCTACATCAACTCGCTGCTCTCGGCACCCTGCCTCTACCCCTTCTCCCGCGTCACCTACTGCGCCTACCTGGTCCACCCGATCGTCATCCGCTCCATGGCGCTCAACTCGGACGCGCCGCTCCATCTTGGAGGGGATCTGATGGTAAGTTCTGTCCCGAAACAAGTCGGTAATCTCCAACATGATACCAAATAAATCTTTCTTGAATATATTAGAAAACATATTACAAATTCCTCCGATTTCTTTATATCTAATTATAATTTATTCCTCCTTTCAGGTTGTCATGTTCTTCGGTCTCACGGTGGCCTCCTACTTCCTGTCCTTCATGGTGTCGATGTCCTTCGAGGCGCCCGTCGTCACAATGCTGAAGATCTTGTCCCCTAGTCGAAAGAAACGACTCGCCTAAGTTCCGCGTCCCAGCTCCGCCCATTTCCGATTATTTATACCCCCCATTTTGTCATGTTATCTATTTCTTGTCTATCAAGCAAAGCCCACATATTTATAGCATCGACTCATCTGCACACACACGACTCCTTTCGATCGGTTTCTATATACTCTTTTCACTCTGTGCACCACATCTTCCACTTACATGTGTTCCGCTTAAAAAAAAACTATAAAGTTGGAAAAACGACGTGCAACGTGCAAATCAATTCAACCTATATTTTGTCATCTTTTTGTTTTATAATGTGTACATTTTAGTCCCTTAATTTATTCCAAAGGTTTGGAAATTTTGCGCGTGACGAAGAGGAAGAGTTATACATAGTACTTAATAGCTATAATTATATGAAACTCTAGTACCTAATTTTATGAAATCATGTTGTATATACTTATATATACCTTTAAATAAAAACTGCTACCAAATACAATGAAGGGGAGTTTCAAAAGAAGGTCAATGTATTTTTAAAATTTTTTATATTTAGATAATGAAACAAAAAACAGATATCGGCACGAATTCCATCAGCCTTTTTCAATGCAGAAAAAAAAATGGTTTACAAAAATAAATAATATTCCTATTATTACTATAGTATTCTAGAATATTTGGTATTGACATTATTAAATATTTATGTAAATTACTTAACTGATCTATAAATATTATTTGATCTAGTAAAGAAACATTAATTCTTAGATAATGGAGTTTTACGTCAACAGGACAAATATAGACATAATGAAATGATATAGATATCTGAGAAACAAAATTAAACTTCTAAAAATTGTACTTTGATTATACTGCCTCGGCTTGTACATATACTAAACAACAAACAATGTATTTACGCTCCGATAAAAGCAAGCCACAGGTGGTTAGTAGAGGTGTCCGCATTTACTCTATTTTGGTGGCAATATGTTGTCCTCATGTGGTTGCGATTCTAGTTGGTGCTGAAGGTATATATCATTCTTGAAAGCACTTTGTGACCGATCGCAAGTGTCGCTTAAGATTTGAATTAGTTGTAAAGGATTTTGGGCAATGGGAACATTGGAACGGTCGTTCTCCGGTGTGGGTTCGCATATGCACCTTGAGGATTTCGCTGGTTTTAAAAGCCTTTAAGCAGAGGTAACACTGGTGCGGTCGATTATCTACGTGGTTTTCCATATGTACTTGAAGTCTTGATTTCTTGTCAAAAGTCAACGAACAATAGTTACACTTAAGGGAACAATTGTCTGTCATTTTGGCATTCCTATTATTAGTACCATGACCATTTTTCTTCTTAGAATGATCCTCTATCACTTGGGGAGAGTCAAATTCGGAATCTGAAATACAACAGTACTTTTCCCAGAACGAGTCATCTTCTAGGAGGTCTTTCTTGGGTTCCTCACTGTCTGGAGTGTTTGGAACTTCTTCTTTTATCGGTTGGACAACGTACTGATGGGCTATTCTCCCGTCCTCGTAGGCCTCCTCCAGAGAATCCTTCAACTGGTGACCTCTTTCGTCCGTTGGCTCCATCTCGTATGCATTTTTCGCATCCTGCAGGCATAAGATGCATATGGTTTTGGGAAAGGGATCTTCTCTCTCAACTGGGTGGCCACTCCACTGGGAAATCATCTGCGCAATGGAGATCCCCGATTTCTGGGTCGCTTCGAATATATTAACCATGTTCCCTGTATTCTCCAAACAAACACGACATATTGACGACTCCATGGCCCTAAAATCAATCAATCATTTGATAGAACTTAACGAAATATCAGTTGCGGCCGTATATTAAAGTACAATCCTTAGATATTTTGTTGTTATTACATCTCAGCTGTAAGAACCGGGAACGGTTATCGGCGGTTATCGATTGTGAACTCAACTTTGTTCACTATTAAGGGGGTTCCTGAGATTTATTATATTTTAATACTGCCCATACAAAATTACAATTTGAATTTACAATACGATTCAGTCTCTCGATTTGAACACAATTCAAAGAGTCCTAAGCAATATCTCAATTTAGATATAACTATGTTTGAAAACAAAGAATTTATTACATTTTTACCCGATCGCATAAGCTATCAATATTCTTTCGGCAACTGATGGTGCCCGTACTATCGGTGCTATCGATAGTGTCGTCCCATCCCTGTTTTGCCGGCTCCAGTGGATAGAGGTGCAAAAACATCGATGTATGGACCCATCGATGTTTTCGATGTTTTTCACCCAAAACATCGATAAAACATCGATGTATTTAAAAATTAAAAAAATATTTTTTAAATTATTAAAATGCACACTTGTGGTTGTATTAAAAATAGAAAAACAAAACATTTATTCACTTGGTTTAGAAAATGGAGATCATTTCTTAAAATTAAGTGAAACATTTTTTAAAAAAATGTGATTTTTGTTAATGAACATAAGTTGGTCAACAACATCAGCCGTTAGGCGCGGTCCTGCGGTCAGAAATAATTTGCCCCGCCTTGCTGAAGGCTCTTTCTGACTCGCAGGAAGTGGCAGGGACACATAGAAATTATTTTGACACTTCTTTGAAGGGCGCCATAATGTTCGGCGACTCCTGAAAGCATAATTAATTACTAACAAGAAAGGAAAGCTAACTTCGGGCGGAGCCGAAGTTGATATACCCTTGCAGAATATTCTATAAATTATATTCTCCAAAATTATTCATATGATGCATTCTTAATACTCATAAAAAGTCCCAACTTCCTAACTTTAAAAACACCAAAGTTATGTCATTTCCAATCGTTCAGTTATATGGCAGCTATAAGATATAGTAGGCTGATCCTTATGAAATTTGGTAGGTCGGATTGATTGGCCAAAACTAAAACCCACAGAAAATCCCAATTTCCTAACATTACAAACACCAAAGCTATTGCATTTCCGATCAATCAGTTATATGGCGGCTATAGGATATAGTCGTCCGATCCTTATGAAATTTGGTAGGTCGGATTGATTAGCCAAAAATAAGACCCATAAAAAAAAAACTTCCTAACTTTAAAAACACCAAAGTTATGGCATTTCCGATCGTTCAGTTATATGGCAGCTATATGATATAGTGGCCCGATCCGGCTCGTTCCGACTTATATACTACCTGCAATAGAAAGACAACTTTTGGGAAAGTTTCAAGCAGATAGCTTTAAAACTGAGGGACTAGTTTGCGTAGAAACGGACGGACAGACGGACAGACGGACGGACAGACGGACAGACGGACATGGCTAGATCGACTCTCCTGGTGATGCTGATCAAGAATATATATACTTTATAGGGTCGGAAATGTCTCCTTCACTGCGTTGCAAACTTTTGACTGAAATTATAATACCCTCTGCAAGGGTATAAAAATAATGACTTAAAACAATTTAGAAACGCACCTTCCAATACTTCACTTCTGCCTAATTCGTAACTATTGCTTCGCAGCGCGCCGTGGTATTTTTTGCTTGCAATTTTGCTTGCAAGCAAGTGAAATAGTCCGAAGATTCAGTCTGGCTTGGTACGGACCTTTTTTTTTTTACGTAGCTTTCCTTTGCCTTTTTCTCTTGATAGTGACGGCACAGAAACATCGATGGTTGAAAAAAAACATCGATGACTTAGAAAAATATCAAAAACATCGATGCATCGATGTTTTCATCGATGTTGCTGCACCTCTACCAGTGGACCGGAAAATCACTGGGAAATAAATAAATTAAAGTTTCATGTTGTTAAAAGTAAAGAAATGTTTGTAATTATTTTGTTGAATTAAATCCTATAACCTCCCAATCGATATCGGTCCGAGAATATCGATATCACAGCTTCCAGACTTCGGCTCGGGTCGCAACCACCTCATCACCCGCAACCACCCACCAAACACCCGAAAGCGTAAGCGGAACCGGAACGGAGATGGCCCTGCCCTCGATCTCGACGCTGCTGGGCGTGGCATTCCTGGCGTACATCGGCCACTCCATCTACCAGATGTCGCAGCTCTTCACTACGCTGCAGTGCAGCGGTGTGCCCTGCTACACATCCTTCCTGACGGACCGGCCACGCCTCCAGCTGGCGCTGTTCTCCTCCCTGAGCCGGAATCCCATCGCCTCCGAGGTGCGGGACCTGTACAAGGCCAAGCGGTTCGACTACCATCAGAGCTTTGAGCACGATTTCGAACTGGATGTGCCGCTGAAGACCCGACGCAATGGCTCCCTGTACTTCCATGTTGTCCTAGCCCTTGAGGGTGAGCCTCTAGAGTGGCGCAGCCTCCGAAGAGATGGCCCCACCGTTGTCCACACGCTGAGTCTGACGGATTACATGGTGCCGCGAGCAGAGGCCTTCAATTTGCTGGGAGAGTCCGAAAAAGGAGCGGAAGCAGCTGCTGTCCAGGAGAAGGGCAAGAAAGCATCATCCGGACGTGCCAGCACTCACATACGGTCAAATGTTTACGTTACTCTGCTGACCGATCTTTTCTCCGTTTCCCAAGCGGATGTCCCACCAGAAATGGCACCTCTGATACGTGTCAATCGCATGCAGCAGATTCTGCCCATTCTGCAGACTGACACATTCAATACGCGGCTGAAGGACCTTGTGCCCGTCACCCGGAATACCACCGAGTTCACCTTTAGCTTCCACTACAAACCCGTGGGCGTGGGCAAGCTCCGGCTGATGCTGCTCATGGAGCACGCCACCCAGGCCCTTCTCACCGTCGGATTCGCCACCAAAGACATCGACGAGGTGAAAGGCATCTTCTCTGACACCAATGTGTACCTGCTGTGCGGTACCATCTTTGTGTCCAGCATTCATGTGAGTACACTTCAATTATAGAAATAAACAACTTAGTTTTATGTCAGATTCATTAAAGAACATATTGATTTAAAATGTTAAGCTAAGAGGCAATTAAAAGTATTAAATTTAGTTTGTTAAGGAGCAAATGCCAACTGATGATTAATGGCTTACAATAACATTTCAGATTAATAGAAAAAAGTAATAAATCCATTTACACTAATACTACCAATACTACAACTAATTATCTTCTTCCGCCCCACAGATGCTCTTTGACTTCCTGAGCTTTAAGAACGACGTGGCCTTCTGGCGCAAAAAGCAGTCGTACGAGGGTCTCTCCACCCGCACCACCATGTGGAGGGCGTTCTCGCAGATCGTTATCTTTCTGTACCTGCTGGATGAGAATACATCGTATCTGGTGCTCGTGCCCGTTGGCCTCGGTACGCTGATCGAGCTGTGGAAGTGCAAGAAGATCCTGCGCCTAGAGCTGAGCTTCGGCGGCCTGATTCGTCGCAAGCTGGAGCAGGTGGACAAGCGGAATGGAAAGCAGACGGATGAGCAAAACGGTCAGCTGGCGAAGGAGGAAGAGCAAACTGACCAGTTTGACAGGCAGGGCATGCGGTATCTGAGCTACTTGCTGTATCCGCTTTGCCTGGGCGGAGCGGTATATTCGCTGCTATATCAGCCGCATCGCTCCTGGTACTCCTGGACCCTCAACTCGCTGGTGAACGGGGTCTACGCCTTTGGGTTCCTGTTTATGTTGCCGCAACTATTCGTCAACTACAAACTTAAGTCCGTGGCTGCTTTGCCATGGCGCGCATTTATGTACAAGGCATTCAACACCTTCATCGACGACTTTTTTGCCTTCATTATCACCATGCCCACGGCCCATCGGGTGGCCTGTCTGCGCGACGACATTGTGTTCATCATCTACCTGTACCAGCGCTGGCTCTACCCTGTGGACAAAAGTCGCCTAGACACGGGCCTGGCTATCGGCGAAACTACGGACACTGCCAACGAACCATCCACCACCACTGCGGCCAGTCGCAAAAAGCGCAACTGATCCCACGTCATGAAGAGAAGCCAAGATTGCTCATTCCGTCTATAGCTCCAGGTCTAGCCCGAGCTGTAGTCCATTAACATTTTTATGTAATCCGATTCCGTCTTTAGTTTAGTAGTGATATAAATCCTATGTTTTAGACTCCACTATTGAAAACGTGTGTTTAAATAGTTATTAAATGCTTATATATAAATGGGGTACTCCATTGTCGATTAGCAGGCAGTGATCCCAAATGAAAATGGCTATTAAACAAAATGCATTTTATAAACTTTTTAAACAACAAAAAGCACCAAAAGGTTGAAAAATTATGGAATCAACTAAAATCACACATTTGTAAAGTTTAAACTAAGAAAAACTGTGTAATGACTTAAACGCTGTTCAAATTTTTTATATTGTTGAGCAGCTAAAATAGCCAAAAGGTAAACTAAACAATAATATATACCCAACGTAGATCAAAAGGTGTTTTAGAAACAATCAGTTAACAGAAATTCAGAAAAGCAGCCAATAAGTGATCCTAATCGAAAATATATATTGAACAAGACAGAACGCATTTTATAAAACTAAAAAAGAACCTAAAAGCACCAGAAGGCTGCATAAATATATAATTAAATAAAATCACATATTTTAAAAATGAACTTTGAGGAAGTGTAACATTATATACTCGTATTTAATGGCAAGATTTGGGGGAAAATCACAGGAAGTAGAAAACGATTAAAACCATGTCCATTGAAATTCAAAGATCGGTTTAATATTTGTATGCCGTTTTATTAGCTTACTGTTAAGTCCAATATTTTGTGGATGTGTGTGTTTTGGATGGGGGATTCGGGTTATGGAAAGGGTTGGAGTTCAGCTTGTCGAAAAAAAAGGGATATACTTTAAGCTTAAACTAAACTGGCGAAGGAAAAAGAGTTTGCCGTGCGCACGGTTTACGGATGCTGATTGGCGTTGGTTCCAGGAATTGGCTGCTGGAGGAGATCGACGAAGCATTCGCCTAGCCGTTGCGTATGCCCAGCGCCTGCTCCAATTCGGCCCGCTTCTGGTTGACCTTGGTGAAGAAGTAGCGCGACACGGCCTCGTGCGTCCATGGCTGATAGTAGAACTCGGCCCGTCGCTCCTCCTCCGGATTGCCCACTACATCAGTCATCAGCTGAAAGGGAGAGAAAGTTTAGAAAATGTGTGTAACTCAAAGAAAGCGACACTCACCTTCAAATCTCTCGTCTGACTGATGATCCAGCGATGTATAAACATCTGCGGATCCTTGGCGAAGCTAAGGAAGAACTCCCTGTTCGTCTTCATCTGGTTGATAGTGTCCACCGTCTCGTGGATTTTGGTGTCCAGCCCCTGGATTTCTTGCTGGCTGGCGGTGCTCATCAGGAAACTATTCATCTGGTTCTTGAGCGTGTCGTCCACCTCCACATCGATGTCGTAGCAGGCGGTCTGCTTGTTCTCGGCCCCGCTCTCAATGAAGTGATTGATCACGATCGGATCGGGCGGATGCAGCAGCGGATTGAGGCGTTGCGGTATCTCCGCAAACTTCATCCGCTGGCAGCTGAATATCTGCTCCAGATATTTGTCGCAATTGATGTACTCCCGCTCGTGGGCATCCTGCAGCTTGTGCGTCTTGATGTACTGCCACAAGGCGGAGATGATCACCGGCCTGGTCTGCGTGTGGACGCCGAGCAGTCTCGCGAGTCGGGGGTCGAGCTTGAACTGCAGCGGCTGGTAGTCGAGCAGCAGGAGGATGGTGCAGCGCACATTGCGATCGCCAGGCCGCTTCACCTGGAATCCGTCCGTCTCTTGTGTGGTGTGGGTGCGATGCCACTCAACCAGATGGTTGTCCGGCCCGTACAGCTCCTTGTCCAGTTCGATAACCAATGACTTGAAGAACGACGAGAACTTGCGTTTGATCTTGGTATTGGGATCGCCCTTGCCATCCTCCAGTAGGCGACCCTCGACCCGCAGTTCCCAGGAGGCTACGGCTCCCTCTTCGCCATCGTTGGACGGCTCCTTGCTGGGATAGAATGTGTTCGAGATGAAGATGCGTAGTTTGCGCTTTTGCTTCATTGGACGCTTGAGGGCCTCCTGGATGTCCAAGCGCTTGCGCATAATGGTGGCATCCAGTTTGCGCTCGAACGTCAACAGATCCATGTACGCCTGCGACTCCGGCACCAGGTCGCGCACTTTCTGCGGCAGAATCTTGTCTGCCAGCTTCTTTTTCTTCTTGGCCGTAACGAAGTCACTTTTGCCACCAGCGCCGCCCAAACTGCGCGATTCGTTGGACCGCTTGCTTCCTCCGCCGGAACCACCGCCTCCTCCGGCGGCGCCTGTGCCGCGTAGGCTGCTCTGAAAGGCCGGCTGTTGGGCGGCGCGCTGGAGTAGCGATGGCCCGGGTACGCCAGGCACTCCTGGAACTCCAGGCACTCCGGCCACGTTCGTTGTGCCCGGAACTGGTTGCGTGGTGTTCGGATGCAGGGGAAAGCCGCGCGGCTGTGGGGAATAAGTGAACGTTATTATACTCGATTGAAAAGGAGGTAAGCCCGAAGAAAACTTACCGGAAAAGTGGCGCCTGGCGGCGGATAGGGACGCATGCCGGGTGACGGCGGCGGGGGCTGGTAGCGCGACTGCACCGGCGCTTGGCCAGGTGCAAAGCGTTGCGACATCTTCACTAGCTGCTTCTGCTCCTGCGCCTGCTTTTGTTTTACAACCGAATAAACCCGCTTTTTACAGCCAAGAAAACTTTCTGGATTTACAACAACGCGTCACACACACAATTTCGCCTGTAAAATGGCGTCAAGACAGGGCTGCACTAACGATAACGGTGGACGGCTGAGCGATATGTTTTGAAACCTCTTCCAGGGCTTTTGTATATTACCATTTGCTACAATAAATTGTTTAAAGGCTTTTATTTTAAAAACAGCTTTTATTTTAGAAAGAATAATCTACTGATATTTGGTAACAAAAACAAGAATAAAATTTCTATTAAGGTTTTAGTTTCATTTCGATATCATCGATAGTACCCTAGATACCTCTACCATCTCGCTCTGCAGTGTAACCAAAGCACAAATTCTCAGGTATTTTAAAGTCTCTGGACGACAGCCACACTAAACTGCTCAAAAACAATTGTCATTTAAAACAAATTTTCGATTTATTTCTGAAAAAGCGACAACAGACGAAATGGAAGAGAGTTGGTGGGTAGCCAGTCTGAAGGCTCTGGAAACAAAGGCTCAGCGCATGGGGGCGCTGACCAAGATGAACACTGCAATCGCCAAGGAGGCGGCTCTTCCGCGCCAAATCATCGCTGGGCTGTTAACCAACCCGGAATTGTACGACTGTGCCAGACTTTCTGGGGATTCTGGCAAAGATCCCTCCGTGGATGTGGCTTTGGAGCTGCTGGGCCATTGCCTGGACCAGCTGGCGGTAGACACCGCCGACGAGCAGCTGCCCAGACTGCTGGGTCGCGGCCTGGCCCACTCGAATCCCGCCCTGCGTTCCCTAGTGCTGGCCAGTGTGCTTAAGGAGCTACGCCGCCAGTTGAACGCCGGCCAGGTGCACACGTTGCCCGGCAACGAGCTGCTCTTCCTTATCTTGGACGAGTTGAAGCAGCCGGAGACGGAGGGCAGCTCACTGGCCATCAATATCCTGTCCATTGTGCTCGTCCAGCGCCTCAGCGATGCCGGCGTGCAGGCCAAGCTGGTCGAGCTTCTGCAGAAGGACGAGATCGTGCGTTGTCGCGCTTACGAACTGGGCGTGGTCCTGGCTAAGGGCAGCGCCGCCTCCCTCACCGCCGTGGAGTTTATTCTGGATGCGGCGCTCAGCGAGCTGGACAACGACGATGTCCTCCTGCAGGCCAGTGTGATGGAGATTCTGGTGCCTTTGGCCGAACAAAACCATGGCCTATCCTACATGGAACGACGACGCGTTTTCGATGTTATCAGCACACGGGTGCAGCGCATCGAAGAAAATCCTCTAGATGCCCTGCTGATACCCAGCATCATGAAGTTCTTCGGCAAGATTGCCGCCGTGCAGCCTCAAAAGATCATTGCCGGCTATCCGCACATGCTGGCCTGTTTGTTCCAGCAACTGCAATCGGAGGACGAAACCATTCTGCCCACCGCCATGGACACGCTTTCCAATTTGGCCAGCACACCGCAGGGAAAGGTGCTACTGCACCTGCACTTTAACACCGCCGTGGAGGAGTCCTTTAAGAAGTACAGCTCGTACACCAAGAAGCTATCGGCGCCCATCAAAGAGCGGCTGCTCAACTCGCTGGATGTGATTTATTCGGTGGAGACACCTCCTACCAAGGAAATCAAGTAATTTGCACTACATATTTTACCCTTCTTCTGTTTATAATTCCGTTCTTCGTTAGTGCCATCCTAAAGACCTGGTACGAGAGCTTCGCTGGTGGAGCGCAGGCCAATGCCATCATGGAACTGATCAACACGCCATTCCCTGACCTCCAGTTGGCCGCCTTGGGCCTGCTGAAAACCATCTGTAAGTACGGCTGGGGCATTGTTGCCTTGAAAAACACTGGCGGAGCGGTGGAATTCCTGCTCTCGCGACAGAAGGATCTGCACAAGGACGTCAAGTTTCTCAAGTGGGAGATCATGGAGATGCTGGCCATTAGCTCCGAGTTTTCACCCACCGAAACCGTGCGTTTTACAGCGTACGTGAACGAGGGACCATATCACATCCAGGCGGACGTCAATATAGCCACCGAACCGCAGGGCAACGCTTAGAGGGCGGAATGCCAAGCATTTACCGCCTCCGATTACGAATCGTATGTACAGCGACGCGTTCAACTAACATCTGAATATGTATTTATAGGATTACAATAAGATTTAACTATTAGATCACATGTAACAATGCCCCATTGGGCAGGTCGATTGATGGGGATGCAACAAATAGTCAGAATATTTTTTGGACAATTGTAAATGGTTTGCCTTAAAAACTATTGGTAAAATATCAACTTTTGTAATTATGTAAACAGGCATGAATTTCATTGGGGTGCGAAATAAACAAAATTAAATGAAGAAAACTGTACATCTTTAGTTTAACATGTTAACATTATTTTTGTGTTAAAATCTTAAGAAACTGCTAGAAAAGAATGCCTTGAAGGGCAATAAAAATGTACGATTTCGGGATGCTTGTTAAGTAATAAAAATTCCATATAAAACCAATAGTTTAAGGCCCCAATTACTTGGAAGTGTCCAATGGTTAAGCCACCCGCCCTCTTGTCCCATTTTATGTAAGTCTGTTGATCTCGTGCTGCGCCTTCGGCCGGTTAAATCCTTTACAGATAGCTCATCTGCCGGTGGGACGGCCGCTTTCGCCCCGATCCGCCGCCCAAGACGCCACCCACATGGGCCAGGCTCACACTCAGTCCGGATTCGTAGGCGGTCTGGGTCTGGGATCGGGTCTCGTTGTTCACCAGCGAGCAGCTGGGCAGGGTGTGGCAGTATCTGCGTAGCTGCTGCTTGAATGCCGCCGTTGTCAACGTGTAGAGCACGGGATTGAGGGCCGAGTTCACAGGCAGCACCAGTACCGCCAACCAGGCGTACAGATCGGGCGAGATCTCACATCCTAAAGAAAGTACAGAATTAATTAAGGGGTGTTCCGGTTCTTTTGCCTTAAAAATTTCACCCGCTTTCCTTACCTGAGAGGGCAGCCACTTTGACCACAATTATGGGCAGCCAGCAGGCGCAATCGGTGGTCACAATGATGGCGAACCTGGGACAGATGAAAAATAGATTTAATTAATAATTAAAATTAATTTGATTTTTAGACCCCTTTTAATAATGTTGATTAAAAGTATTTAACGCAGTGGAGGATACATTTTGGACATTATTTGTGGTTTTTGAAGACAGCATTTTATTTTAACCATTTGTATGTCTAAGAAATGGTCCAATAATGGAATGCCATACCTTGTTGAACTCGTAACAACATTTCCAATCGACTGGCATTCACAGCTGTTTTTTGTAAAATTTTCAAAAATAATCATGATGAAAACCCAAATGCGTTCGGACTTCCCCACAAAATGTATCGAAGAACTCACTTAATTTTGATTTAATTTCAAAGTGTTCTTCATCCAGAAATTGTAAAAACTTTTAATTAAAAAAAAATCATATTCCAATGATTTTAAAGTGTAACTCCAATTTGTAATCTGTTACTGACAAAGGGTATTATTTAATGGAAACTTACCGAGTGGCTACCACATTCTCTCGACCGCTGTGAGTGCTCCTCATCCCGCCACCGGAATCTCGTATCGCCTGCAACATCCTTATGTAGGAAAACAGGATGAAAACCAGTGACAATGTGTTGACGAAGATGAACAGAAGCGCCGAATACTCCCAGCCCTGTAAGTATAATTTTATAATGATCACCCGTAATTGTACAAAGAGTTATTAACCTTCGCATAGGGATCATGGATGTGCAGCGATAAGCAGACACCATTTGTGCCGTAAAAGTGGGTGCCAAAGTAAGGATTGGGAAGTAGTGGAGCCGCTGCCAATCCGAAACTAATTCCCCACAGGAGTAACAGGCGCAGGACAATACTGCAAGATACATTTTAAAATAATGTAATAAAAAGTTATGAAATAAGCAAATAAAATGGTATGAAAAATAAATAAGTCTAACTTATATGGAAGGGGATGTAGTTTTACTTTTGGTCAATACAAATATGATTTCATTAGGAACAAAGTTTATTTGGTAAATACAGTTGTGTGCTTTGACAAATCAACAAAAAAAACTGCAGCTCTCAAAGATTGTTAAAAAGTTATTAAAATAATGGAATAAACAAAACATGTAATGTAAAGAGGCTATATTGTACTAGTGGCAAATGTTTGTGTAGCTAAAATATTGAAGTATAATCTGATTAAGATGACAATGTTTACAAAAGAAGAGTAATGACTGCATAGTGTTGAAATTAATTAATTAGGTGTTTATGTCTAATAATAACGTATACAATTTGTTTACCCTTTATTAGTTAGTAATTTCTTTGTAGCTTAATAGAATTACGTACTAATACCGATGCATTCTTTTGGATTCATGACGTTCTTGCAACTTAATTTTCCTTGCCAATTTACTTACCGAACTTTTTCCGTATCTCGGGGCTTGAGAGGTCTCGTCACAGACATCAGACGATCCCAGGTGACCAGTGTAAGGAGCAACGTCGACGACTGGCAACTGAAGGTGCTGAGGAAGCCTACACGTCGGATACATAATTCACATTAGCATCCCATTAGGGGAAGGGTATTGGGGTGGGTAGTTACGCACCTGCAAAGGCGCAGACACCGCTGTGGCGCCAGGCCTCCTCGTATTTAATGTACTCGCCGCGGAAGCCAATGTCCGCACAGGCAATCAACGTCAGGTAAATGCCCATGAGGAAATCACTGGCGGCCAAATGGCGCAGGTAAAGCGAGTGCTCCACATTGCTCCGCGACTTGTAGAAGTAGCGCCCCAGCAGGACCAATAGGTTGCCCACCACGGCGATTGAAGCCATCACCCAAACACTGCGCAAGATTGGAGATATAATTTATATAATATATAATATATAATTTATACAAAAATTGGAAATTTTTAGTAGTTTGATCTTGCACTTTTGCCACCAGAGACAGATATTCCACCCTCTAATCTACTTGCCATTTTAGTTATTATGATTTTAAATATTGAAATAATAAATAAAAGAAGCTAACTATGTATGTTAATTTCAAATTATATAATACTATATTGTTAATTCCCATATTTGGATCTTTGTACATCCTTTCCTAAATAACGAGATGTTTTTTTGTGTATACATAATAAAAATAGTCAGAATCACTTTATAACCTTGACTCGGACAATTGTCGTTATGCCGCTCCCCATAAATTCGGGCAATTAAAGGAAATTTAAGCGTTCCCCGTGGGGCAACACTTTTGCACGCCTTGTTGTTGTGTTTTGACCTCTGTGTTTTTGTGGCTCGCACAATTGCCAATTGCCCGGGTGTCTCATTATTGCAATTCTGCTGACCGGGGAGGTGTGGCCATGGATGCTTGAGTGGAGCGACGAGACTTGGGCACAAAGCAGAAAGCACAAAGCAGAAAGCACAAAGCACGGAGCACCGAGCACCGAGCACAGCAGCAATATCAGCATGCACAGGAGCAGGAACATCTGAAGCGAGTGCTGACTCTAATTCAATGACAATTATGGACACTGCCATGATGCATATGCTTGGAAGGTAGAGCAGCCTGTAATTTATGCCAGTGCCAAGTGGTGTTCCGCTTCCCATTCATTGCCAACACTCGGTCCTTGATGATGATTGACCACCAGCAGGCTTGACCCAAGTCACAGGCTGCGAAGATGCCAATTTCACTAAATGCATATTAAATTAAAAGGAGTTGCAGCTCCTTCTCCGAATGCCAAAAGCTTAGCCTTTATAATAAGGTTGAAGAATATAGAAACCAAAATAAAAAGGGAAAAAAGGTCTGACGCCATGGGAAGTAAACCTTAATTTTAATAATTTTAGGACTTTCAGTGGGCTTACAAAATGTATTAACGGTGGCGAATAAAGAATAATTTCTGTGAGTGGGGAAGAGGTAAAATTACCTCATACCTTAAACAAAATTAAATGTTTGGGTCAAACAAATTCAAAGCAATTTTAGGTTCACGTACACTCGGCAAATTTATTCTGCAAAATAAATCGGGGTCACCCGATCCGACGAAGGGAAGCCAGCAACAAGGCATTAATGTTGTAAATTTAAGCAAAACATCCCTGGTGCAAGGCAGTTACTTTCTCCTACTTTCTCCATCCGTGCACTACTACTCGTAAATAGAGGCTGGGACTCCAGGTGGCTAATAAATGTGGAGACCAGCCTGAGAGCAACGAAATGAAGACAGCCGGAAAAACGGCAGCCACGCCAACGACTTGAAAACCTAAAGTATTTAATTTTTATGAAAACGTCAACTAAGAATAATGAAATAATGTACTAAGCACAAGAGTAAATTCTCGCTGGCACCGGCATCCTTGCAGCCTCGTATCCTTGTATCCTTGGATCCCATCACCCTTCTCTGTTTGTCTGGCTGTGTATGTGCACATGTTGGTGTTTGCTTTTGGAGATGGGAGATGGAGATGTGGATGGAGATGAAGATGTAGATGTAGATGAAGACGGCGGCATGCAGAGTGTGTGGAAAATGTGTAAAAGGCAAACAAACAAGTCGACAAGGAAGCAACGTAATTTTCATTTTCCACAGGAACACATCCTAGACGACGAACAGGCGATGGCTGGCAGCCAGATAATCACTCAGCAGACTTGATGACAAGTGAGTGCCGGTTGCCTGTTTTCAGTTTCCACTTCCGAGTTCTCTGTTTTCAGTTACCAGTTCCCATTTGTTGATGTGTCTACTTATTTGTCTTGCCAAGTAGCTACTTGGCTAAAATACCAAATACGCAGCAAATTTAAATGTTTAGACGGTGGGTCTAGCCACTTCAAAGGGCCCGAATTCGGGGTGTGAGCCATTGGCACAAGAAATTAGAACAGCGGGCGATTGGCGCCCAACGCGGGGCCAAGTTGCTATGGAGGTTACCATTAATTAAATGATTGTCGTATTACAATTGATCACCTTTGACGGGTCGTGACTCTCATCCATATTAACTTTTCTTTCACAGATTAATCTTTATATTTTTTCTTGAAGAATTTATGAACCCGACACCCATAAATATTTTAGTCTTAACCCTTCATCTTTTAGTTTACCTATGCTAAATAAGAAGGCATATGTTAATGCTTGTTATTTGCCTAATTCCCTTTACTAACTTTGCATAAATTTGTATAATTTGAGAGCGCTCCTGTACTCAGTAGTGGTACTCCTCGTAGGCAAAACAATGCAGTTCCGCCACTCTAATTGCGAGCAATCTCGGTTGAACTTGCAATGGCGGTCTTCGAGGGCCATAATGACAACGATTTAATTGCAGTCTAATGAATGCGATTTACACACAGACTGTTGCTACCTCATGCTACCCGAAAAGCCATCCAGTTAACCAGGCTCTTTTCAAGGGCTCTTAGCTTGAT